TTCACTGTCCATAATTTGTTCAAATAGACAATAAGGGTCTCAGTTTCAATGTGATCTTAGACATCCAATTCGGGAAAGTAATATATTGTTATGCTTTGTAATATGTTCCCTCTGCATTTTCATTATAACCACCAGAAAGCAAAGCGGTATTCTTATAATAAGGGATGTTCAACTCAGTTCAGCAGCTTATTGCCCAGAATACCCATTGTGTGTAAGACAGTCTGCTGTGCACTGCAGGGGATTGAACGATCTCAATGATCTCAATGAAGTCTAGTTGGTGTAATAAAAATAGAATAAAAATGACTTCAATTCTAGGCAGACTACTGGCAGCATCAAAAGTATAAAGTATTACAGATTTTCAAAGGAAAAACTGCTATAATCTAGTTGGGGGAGACCGAGAAGCCTCCTTAAAGGATTCGGTGCAAATGTAACAAGAAAGACAAGACTCCCTTACATGAATATGGCAACTTACACATTATGAAACATTTTTACAGGTATTAGCTTGTTTGACTTCTGCAATACAGAGGGCAGTGAGTGATTCTAGAAGCGTGTGTCTCAGACTGGCGGCGTCAGCATCTCCTGGAAGCTTGTTTGAAATGCACATTCTCAGGACCCGCTTCAGACCCGCTGAATCAGAAACTCTGGGGGTGGCACACCTCCAATTCCCACCAGCAATCTGTGTTTACACAAGCCCTTCCCCTGATTCTAATGCAAGCTGAAGTCTGAGAACCACTGCTGGAGGATCCTTCTGATTTCAGAGTATGTTTTTTATTTCCCATAGAAATTAAGAATTACTGAAGTTGCATTTTACCAGGTTTCTAAAGCAATTACAGGAAACCTAATTCCAAAGTGATTTCAGGTTGAATGTCTTTCTTTGGAATCGAATCTTGAAGAATGGGTAAGATTTTTCGCAGGTGAACGTGGCTGAGTATTGGGAGTGTGGGGGAGGCTGGGGTTATTTCAACCAGATGGAAAACTAGCCTTGAATTTTGAGATATATTTGGGAAAACCTTGGCCTTTAGGTTCTTTCCCCCAAGAAATACGTTCTTGGATATTTGTTTTTGTTCTGTGTTTTTATTACATAAATACAGAGTGTAAAAAATTATGTCTTCTTTCCAGTGCATTTGGACTGGAATTCATTTCCTCTAAATGCTTGAATCTTTGCAGGCCTTCTGTGCCTTTTTTTTTTTTTTTGGTTACTTTGAGAATAAGTCTTAAGAACCAGGGGCTAATTCTATTTATTCTTTTACTCCAAAGGAGGATTTACTTTTTTAATTTGTAAATTACCCATGATAAGGGATCAGAAGCTCTTGATAAGCTTCAACACATGCAGGGACTTTATGCATTTGGTCTTCAATTGGTGGAAATCAGACTGGACCAGTTCCAGGCAGACTGAGGCAGGGACCTCTAATACTGGTGGGAGATATTTCATTGCTCCTCATGGCATCTAGGGCCCCAAGGCTCTTCTGAGATATGCTGAGGATTGGCCCAACTTCTCAACTTGAGATTTTGATAACTTAAACAAAGATTCTATAGGATGGAGACTCTAAAAAGGAAAATTAACCTTTGGTCACTGAACCGGAGCAATGTTGATGCAGGATGAAACGTGGCCTCATTTGAATTTTCAAACCGATGACTGCATATTGATCTCTTTTATCAACAATTTTATTAATAAAATTTTAAATCTTGCTATTTTTATTCATTTTTTACATGCAGTAAAATTAACACCTTGTGGTGTACAGTTCTATGAGTTTCAGCAAGTGATGTAGTTATATAAACACCTTCACAATCAATATACAAAACTGTTTCCTCACATTTTGTGTCAACTCCTTGCTCTATCTCCAACTCCTGGGAACTAGGATCTGGGTTTTGTTCCTCTAATTTTGCCTGTGGTGGGTGGTCTTATAAATAAGATCATATAGACTGTAGCCTTTTGAATCTGATTGTACCACTTACATAATGTATATTGAAATTCATTCATGTTGCTGTGTGATCCATCGTGTATTTCTTCTTTTGTTGCTGTGTAGTATTCCATTGTATGGATATACCACAGTTAAGCTATCTTTTCATGAATTGGGCATTTGGTTGTTTCCGTTTTAGGCAGTTATGCAGGTTTTCTGTGTGTATAGGTTTTGTGTGAGTATAAGTTTTCATTATTCTTAGGTGACTACTTAGGAGTGAAACCACGGGATCGTGTGGCCAGTGTAGACTTTATAAGAAACTGACAGTTTTCCAAGGGGGCTCCACCATTTTGCAAACCCCACTACTTAGTTCTGAGTTGTACTGTTGCAGTCGGTCTGTGTCTGTGTCACGGGATGAGCTCTAAGAAACCAGTTCTCTCTCTGTGGTCCTGTGGGAAGGAATTTGCATGGAGGTTGAAACCAGGAATCCAAGGCTCTAGAGATGTTATGCAAAGTGCTACCAGGAGACTGGGGACTGAGAGGCTGGTACTAAGGGGATAGAGCTCAACTGTCCTGAGCATATTAAGAAGTGGCTTGACATCATCCATTTGTGGGCTGCTTCTTATATGGTATAAATACCACTGATACAATTGATAGAATTTCTCATCTGGGGTTATACATAATGGCATAAGAACAACTGTATTTGTATATATGCCACTGGCTTTATGAACTTCCCAGTGCTGTCATTGCATAGAAACTCTTTTGGGCACCAAATTGCCTTTTTTTTTTTTTTTTGGTCTACTGTCTAATCTTCAGTCACTGATAATTTAGAATGTCAGATCTTTAACAATCCTATGGTCTGAATCTCACCATCTTTATTCATTTGTAAAGATACTGACAATGATGTGGGGCAAAATTGAACAATGAGCAATGGCTTCCTTGTGAAAAGTAAATGCTTCATTTTTTTTATATGACCACTTATATAACTATCTCCCTTGGAGATAGCTCTGCTTGAATAGTGTTCAATCAGATTTGGCCTTGAAAATAACTGAAGTAAGGCTGCAGAGTGTTGCTATCCAAAGCAGCTTTTAAGCAACAAGCCTTGATGCTTCAAAGGTCTTCTATTGGTTCTTCCCTATTTACCCAGTTGTACTGATGCTTTCAACTGCGGGATCCAACAGCCAGTAAGTCACCAAGGCTGGCCCTAAAACAGCAATGCATATGGCTCCACCCGCTGGCCATTTCTGCCCCAGGCCTGGGTGTGCTCCTTGGGCGCTGACATGTTCCTTTCATGGAGTCCTTAACTCAGTCTTTGTCATGTTTTTGCTTTATTGTTTCTTGTTTTGTTTTGTTTTGAAGTAGACTCCATACCCAGCATGGAGCCCAACCTGGGGCTTGAACTCTCCACCCTGAGATTAAGACCTGAGCTGAGATCAAGAGTCAGACGTTTAAACAACTAAGCTACCCAGGCATGCCATTTTTTTTTGTCATGTTTATATAACTGGACTCCTTTTTTAATGTATTTTTCTTGGACTGAGTCTTGCCATCAGCTGAAGGTAGCTGGAGATTAAACATACTGTTTAGCTCTTACCAGCCCCCTGTCCCAGAGCTAGTTCCTGCACCTTACGTTACCAGTACCTGGCTTGGGTTGCCATCTCCACTCGAGTCTGCAGAAGGGTGGGGCTCTCCCCTCTTCTACCGACTGCCACACTTAAAAGATACTATCTATACATTAGTGTTTGAGCGGTTTCTTCCTTCTCCATGGATCATAGGTGTTGACTTTTTCCCTTTCAAGCTTGGCAAAAGCAAACCACTTACCACTTAACAAGAGAAGATTTATTACATTTAACCAAAAGGATAAGATGTTTCTACAGTAATACTGTATGTATCGGCAGAAGTGCTGTCCCAGCTATGGCTGAGTCATCTATAGTGCCTCCCTGGACATCTCTTCCTCCACCACCACTGTAAAGTGACTATGGGTCCAGTTCTCACCCTCCAGAACATGATCACAAAAGGGCAGTCAGACACCACAGTCATCTGCTGAGATCACCTCTCGCTACTCCAGCCAATTTCCTATGCAGGGCTGTTCAATGGGCCAGTTTTGTTGCCATTCAAAGCGGCTCTTAGCCATTTATTGATTGGTCAGTTTGAGCATATGATTCAAATATTTCTCAAATTATTAGAAAGCAAAGAGGGAGTAATAAGATCACATATGGGTTGTATTTCAGGTACCAATTAAAATCTGAAATTATTTGTGGCCATGGAGTTCCCGAACAAGTAAGATTATTTGTGTCATCCAATGATCTGGATGTTTCATTCCTTTTTAAGAAATCTTTAGTCGAGATGCCTCCACAATATCTCCCTCTATGAGAGCCAGACTCATTTATCTGTTTTCAAAAGCTAATTTAGTACTCTGAAGGGTATAGTGGATATCACTTCAGGCATAGAAAAAGGCGTATGTGTGCATGTGCCCGTGTATGTTCCACGTTAGAAAGAGGCCTTGCAGTCTGCTGTAGGATTTTAATGCGTACTCTTGTTATTGTCTGGGAAAACTGTTATCCTATGGTCTTGGTCTGGGTCCTCATTGGATGCAACTACTGGCTGAGTATGAGCCCAGATTGGCCAGATCCCTGCTTATTCTGATATGAACCACTCATTGGCTGCTGCTACAGCAGTGAGCCAGAGCTGGGCTGGTTTCCCAGTCCTGCCCCTTCCGGCTTTCCTTTCTTTCCCTCTAGAGGAAAGAAACCTTTGCCTGTTTTGCAAAGGTCCTGGCAGCCCTCATAATTAGGGACAGAACCAATGAGTCATCATTCAGTGACAGAAACGGGGCAGACCGAAATCCACTTGACTGGCACCCACTTGATTGTCTATATGGCATCCCTAGGATCATGGGTAACAGAAGTTATTCAGCTAGATTTGAATTCCATTTCCTTTCCTTTATATCGTCCTCATTCCTTTCTTCTGGGGAAATTAAAAAAAATATATATATATATATAATGCAAATATATATAAAGGCAAACGAATTCAAAATGCTTGCAAACCACATTTTTTTTCTCATTTAAGATGAAAACAGATTTAACATAACCCCTAGATAAATATAGAGATTCACTGCTTTATTTGACAGAAAAAAAATAACAATGAACAAAATAGCTGTGCTCTTTAGGTGCTTAAATACTCATATCCAGGTATATTTGCAAAATAGGAATATAGACATGGCTTTGTACTTTCCATCCTGACATTAGGGGAGCCTTGGGTGACTTGTTATTCATTATGTTCTACAGCAATGTCATCTGAGTCTCTAGTTAAAAATTCAGTTTCCCTGGCTTGTCCTCTGAGCATGGAGTGAAGATCAACAGTCTGTATTTTTTTTTAACCAGTGTCCCACATGATTTTTGGGGTCTGTCCAATTAGGAAAACACTGTCCTAAAGGAACCAAGCCTGAGTCTTATTAAGGAGTTGCAGTAGTGTCAAGATAGAATGATCCTGGGATCTTCACTTCCCTCATTTTTCAGACGCACATGCTGGCCACTTGGGCTTTGCGCAGAACAGGAACATCCTGCTTATTGGCAAAGAAGCTGTCTCGAGAACCTGGCTTTCCACACTCCTGGTGGGGTGCTGAGTTTTCTTCCTGCCCATCATACTCCCTACCTCAGGATCTCCCGGATGGACTCACGTGTGAGGTATGCTCAGTATCTTCATGGAGACCAGAGAAGGAGCAACAGCAATGCTTTATTTTGAGAGAACTTTCCTTTCCAGTAATGTCCAACAGGCAGCTGGGGAATGCTCTGCGCCCAAACGGTGCTGTCCCACCTCAGAGGGCTGTGCAGATGGCACTGAATTAATCCTTTGTACTTGGAGAGAAAGAGAGAGAGAGAGAGACAGACAGACAGAGAGAGAGGGTACTGTCAATGGTCAGTCTTTGTACTACTCAAATTCCAAGTGGATTTTGAAGGGGTTCCAAGAATCATCATGCAAACACATCATGGTTGACAAAGAAACCAACAGTCACCTATGTTCCCATGAACATACAAGTTCAAAATACTTCTATGCATGTGTCACGAGTATTGAGGGAAATAATAATTTCTTAGCTCAGTCTCGTAGACTGGGTGACTTACAGAACAGAAGTTTATTTCTCCTGGTTCTGGAGGCTGAGAAGTCTAGATTCCGGTGTCAGGTGAGAGCCTGATCCCTGGGTTCCAGGCGGCTATCTTCTCGTACCCTCAGGTGGTGGAGAGAGATCATCTTCCTTGGGTCTCTTCTTACAAGAGCACTAATCCATTCATAAGGGCTCCTCCCTCATGATTTAATCACCTCCCACAGGCACCATCACATGGTCTGGATTGGATTTCAGCGTATGAATTCTGGGATGAGGGCAAACAACATTTGGTTCCTAGTCAATGAAGTCCTGCCAATAGAAGACCCTTTGTTAACTACAAAGAGAACCTATTACTGGGTAAGCATTATCAGATTTACGTGCACCTAAGGCAGCATGGGTGTGGCCATGAGGTCTGGAGAGAAAAGCTCACATATTTATACAGTAAACAGAAGAATGACTGAAGTATCTCATCTTGATGAAAGGCAAACAAATACATCTTGTGATTGTCTCCTATGTACCCCTTGAGAGACTCTTAATTTTGGAGGTGTGTGCTTGTATCTTCAAGAGTCACTAGACCTGTGACTTTGTAAAATCAAGAGTTCTGTGCCCTCTTAGTTTTCAAAAAGACATCCCCAGGGAGTGAATGCAGGAAGGTAGCCACATCCCCCCTCAAAGATAATTCCTTTTTACACTTACACGTGCCCTAGCCAAGTCCCTGAGGAATGTTCTAGCTGTGCCTTGAGCAATGGCTCGCACAATTGGCAGAAGTATATTACCTGCCAGGGTGGTTATTTTGAATAAAAACACTAATTTGATATAAAAGTCTTGGTGTGTTTACTTGAGAAATCAGCTCCTGCCCCAGTTTGCATGTGGGCTGCCTTGCTAAATATGAAAGCTCGTTTAAAAAGTCATTCCGCTGCGTCACTCATTCAGTGAAAACTAGAGGGAGGTAATTAAAGAGTGGGTGTTGGAGACAGGGAGAGAGGATGACTTGATTTGCTAGCAGGAAAAGGACTGAAGTGAGGACTCCACGTGAGGACCCAGGAGGTGCTGGGCTGTGGAGCTTGCTGGGCGTGAACTGGGCGTGAACTGGGCGTGAACTGGGTTGTGTGGCCGACTAAGAGGAGTTCCCGACACTGAGGAAGTGCTGCCCTCATGTTTTAATGCTGGAGCTCTGCTTGCTTAACAGCTGAGTGTAAGCTGTGAGGTAAAATACCAAAGCTCAAGAAAACAGAAGAGGCAGAGGATTGGCCAATGAACAGTAAAAGTTAAAATTTTGTCCTAGGTAAAAGGTGGCAGGGAGGCAGACTCATTGTTTCATGAATTATTGTTCTTTGATCTATTTAGCTTTTTGCTTTTTTTTTTAAACCTCTGTTATTATTATTATTATTATTATTATTATTATTATTATTATTTAGTAGGCTCCAGCGTGGAGCCCAACACAAGGCTTGAACTCGTCATCCTAAGATCAAGACCTGACCTGAGGTCAAGAGTCAGACGCTTAACTGACTCAGCCACCCTGGGGCCCCTTATTTGGCTTTTTAGATCCACTCTGGCCAGTAGAGTTTTCTGAGATGATGGAGATGTGTTATAACTGTGCTTTTCAACGTGGTAACCGCAACCCACGTGTGGTTATCGAGCACCAAAAATGTGGCCATGTGATGGAACCGAGGTGTCACTTTAATTTTATTTAATTTAAGTCTAAAGCACCACATGGGTCCCTGAGGCTACCATATTGAGTAGTACTTTAGCACAGGGCTTAGTACTTCTGCGGTATTTAGAAACTACATGTGCTTTTTCCTTAAAAGTGAATTTCGCTAACTTGTGTTTCTAGTTTACACAACTATATTGTTTCCAGAGAACATACAAAGTCTGATGGTTTGGAACTGTTCTTCCCTTTTTGGCTTGTTCGAGGTGACTTCCCCATGTGTGCACGGTGACAGGCCATCGTGAGGCTCAGCCTCCGGGGTGGTGTAGAGGGAAGGCTGCGGGCCTGGTGGCGCCAGGCTGCCCCTTTGGGATGTGTCGGCGCCCGCTCCGACCGCGGCTGTTGGAGCAAAGGCATCGTGGTTGACAAAGACACCGCCAAGGCCGTGGCCTCTTGTACCCTTTCCCGCGTTCCTGAGAAGACACTGGGTACGTGAGAACTCGCTGTTCCGTGGCGCTCGGCACCGAGCGCTCATGGGTGAGGCCAGCATATGTGCTGTGGGAGCCGCCTTTCAAGGAACTGCATGTGTGCCAGGCCTGGAGGAGGGCTTCTCTTTTCAGATACGACTCTTTATCCTGCCACAGAAATGCTGGCTCTTGGGAGAGGCTTAGCATCTCTCCCAACACAGGGCCATGTGTTCAGCATCTATAGGTAGAGTTGAAGGAGCAAAATATAATTGCTTTCGTTTCACATCCTTCTGGCTTTATTTACATTCCTTAAACCAACTAGGAGGGCATTCGAGGATTCTGTGATGCAGTGTCTTCATTTACTAAACAACTGTGGGTGAGACCCAGGGAAGGGAAGTGCCTTGTTTGGGGTCGGGGTTGGATGGCTGGTACCTACAGAGCCTGATTTTAGTTGATTCATTCTCAAGATTGATTTGTATTTGATTGATTTTCTTAATCCTTAAACATGTGATATATTTGATCAGGAGCGTAGAATATTGTTAATAGTCATCCCGATCTCCTCCAAAAATTGGAAAAGACCTTTGCTTGAAATTTTCTTAGGTTGCCCCCCTGCAGGGAGCCCCTGCAATAGAAACAATCTGCTGGGGCTATAAACCCCACTTGGTGCCATTACTTTAATCGGCATCCCAGTCTTGATCAAAAACCCCAGTGCCAGGACTCCGGGCCCAACACTGGGAAATAAATTCAGCAAATGTGACTGGAGCCACCCAGGGAGTCCACGCATCCCAAGGTGACTTGTCGTACCCAGTGAAACTCCTGAACTGGAGGGGAAGCCTCCTCTAGAAACAGGACCTGGGATGATCGTTGATCAGTAGGAACCTCGGAGAGCGTCTCAGGGAACCCCATGGCGCTCTGCTAAAAAGAGAAGAATGAACACTGAGAACGACCTTTGGGGGAATAGGCTTTCTGAAGGTTGCCCCAGACCTCAGCCGGGCTGTTCTTTGCCCACTATTTCTGTGAGTTTATGATCAGCCTTAGCCTGACTTCAGTTAGCGAGTTCATCCTCTAAGTCTGTTCTACCTAAGTTCCTATTTCCTCCTTCCTTTCCTGTCTTATTCTTGGCTGTGTCCCTTGGTTTGTGTCCCAGCCTAGTCCTGTGCTCCTGACAAGTCCATCTATGTCCTGGTCCAGTAGAGTCACCATTTTTAAAGATATTTCCCTGCCTTCCTACCTGCCTCTCAGTTGCCACCCTGACCAGCTTGTCCTTGCCACAGAAAGTAGAGTCTCATTCCCTAGCCTCATTTCCAATCCTTTAAATATTTTTCTAATACTTTCCTGAATAAAGAAGAGAGAGGACTACCTTGTAGTCCAGCCCCTCTGTGTTCCATCCCAGCTGCTGCTCAGGAGAAAGGGCTAGACCTGGGAGCACTTTGGCATAGGCTCCTGGAATCTTAGATCACGACATAATATATTTGTGTTGAATAAAGGGTAATGCAGGTTCTTATTTGCATATATTCTTATTTTTTTTCTCAAGCACTTTGAAAGGCATAATTTTATTTGCCCCTCTTAACCCAAAGTAAAAAAAAAAAAATTGCAAAGCAAGGTAGGAGATGAAAGAGAAATAATCTAGGTGTTTGCACTCACTGAGCTTAGAGGCTTCACACTGGGCTTTTTCATGCTGTATTTCTGAAAACGTGTTAGTTCTCCTGTGTTCCTTGTTTCAGATAATATCATCACCATCTACCGCATTACCCAACTTAGAAACCTCTGACTCATCTTCTGTTCCTCTCTGTCTGCCCACTCACACCCATCAGTCACTGAGTCTTATTGATTTTATCCTCTAAATATTTTTCCAGTCTGCTCCTGTTCTTCTTCTTTGGGAGGTAGGAAGGGAGTAATTCTAGTCTTCCCCATATATTACCCGGACAGTTAGAATTGTCTCCTACCTGGGTCTTCACCTACCACACCTACCAAACAAATTGAACAAGTGCACTCGCTACACTGCTTCCAGGGTGGTCAAGATTGTCTTCTAAAATGTGTATTGTGAAATGTAATCCCCTTGTTAAAATCCCTATAGTCAACCAGATAATGTCGCAACTCCTCGGCAAGGTTCTCTCTCAGATTTTACTCAGAACACCTGTCCGTCAGGCAGCTTGGACTCCATCAAGGGATCTTTTAAAATACTTTCTGGGCCTTCCTGAGCCTTTGTGAAAGCTTTTGTTTTGTTTTGTTTTGCAACCCAAAGGCCTACCTGTTATGTCCAGAAAATTCCTTAGTCTTCTAAATGCAACCCAAGATGCAACAATTTCCCTTCTAATGTATTCATCCTTATTCCCTCTCCCAGACATCTGTGACTTACCCCTGTGTTCTGACAGGCCCCTGTCCGTTCTGCGACGTTCTCTACCAGTTGGTACTGCATGTAGTGACTGTTGTGTTTGTTCAACTCATAGCCAATGGATAGGGTAAAGATGGCAAGGACCGTTCTTAATCTTGTAACTCTTATATTCCTTTTGCATTTCTCTTGCTTTTCCATTAGTCTTCAGAAGTGTTGGCATAGTACCTAAAAAATAATAAAATGTGCACTAAATGTTCATTTTCTGGTCCACTCCAAAAAAGTAAAAGTGACTGTCATTTATTTAGGGATTGGTATGTTTAAGTCACTATATTTTATATGCCTTATTGAGTTTTCATAATATTATCTCTATATCCTTTGGAAAGATATTGAGGCTGCTTTTCTATTTGCCTTTTCTTCTTCGTATAAAGTGATTCATCAGTCAATCTCACAAATTAATCTGCCATAAATTGTTTATAGAGTCTATTGGGTGATTGTATTGCTCTTCTCAGGCACAATGTATGCTATTCATTAGGGACGTTCCAAGCTTTTCTCTCAAATAGTGATGCTAATGATTAGTTGCAGGTGGGTCAGTGGTGTGCTGGAGTCAGACTGTACTTATTTCTGAGAGTTGAATGCTAAATTTTCATGAATTTTATGAGCTGGTTGTTAAACGCAGCCTTTATTAAAAATTAAATTATGTAAGTTTATAAAACAAATTATATTTTAAAAGGTGGTAAGACCTCATCACTTCCTAAGTGTTGTCCT